CACACACACACACACACACACACACACACACACACACACACACACACACACACACACACGCACACACACAGATCACTGGTACCCAACTTGACTGGCATTTTCTTATTCTCACACTCTCTTCTGTTAATTCCCTCCTTCATCATCTTCTTTCCTCTTTTCTTTCTTCAAAGGACAGTCTGTTTGTTTTTGAAGTGATGTTCTGTCTAATAGTCAATAGATTATTCATCTCCCAGCATACTGATAAATCCAGACGCTTCAGCACCATCAGCAAACAAAGGTCTCAGCCATAGGTGTCGCAACAGTTATACGGGAAAGGGACATGTCCCCCCACTTTTAAAAAATATTTTTTCGGAACACCTCTACCCCCACACAACATTTATCATGAAATATTAGTTCACCCAGTGTTGTTTTTATTTCTTCGTGAACAAATCCATTTCACTTGCTTAATAGGAGAACACAGTAGTCCCTCGCTACTTCGCGGTTCATTTGTCGCAGACTGATTGATTTTTCAAAATAAAATTGGACATGACACACAATTGGCTGATTGATGGATGAGCTGCATGATCAGCATCAGATTTTTATTTAAAATAAATTATTTTAAATTATTTAGCACCTACTGCACCTTTGTGCAGCCCACACTGCAGGATAAATTTCCTGCTGTAGCTGATATCCGTGCAGAACATAGAAGTGGGCGTGGCTGAGACCGCTTGCAGGTAATTGAGTGGCTCTTTTAGAGCTTTTAGAGTTTAGAAACATTGTTTAGAATATTGAAAGAGTGTGGGAAGGGTTTAAAACACCTATATATACAAAGTATATATATATATATACACATATATATATACTTTGTATATATATGTGTATATATATATACACACATATATATATATATATATATATATGTGTATATATATGTATGTATATATATATATATATATGTATATATGGTGAGGGACCAGACAAAGTGCAGCCTAAAGACGCCTTATGATGAGCACAATTAACGGAAACAACGTTCCCCCACCCAGACATGGGTCACCGGGGTCCCACTCTGGAGCCGGGCCTGGAGGTGGGGCATGCTGGCAAGCGCCTGGTGGCCGGGCTTTTACCCATGGAGCCCAGCTGTGTACAGCCCGAAGAGGAGATGTAGTTCCCCCTTCCCATGGGCTCACCACCTGTGGGAGGGGCCAAAGAGGTCGGGTGCAATGTGGGATGGGTGGTGGCCGGGGGCGGAGACCCTGGCAGTCTGATCCTCGGCTACAGAAGCTGGCTATTGGGACGTGGAATGTCACCTCTCTGGTGGGGAAGGAGCCTGAGCTGGTGTGTGAGGTTGAGAGTTTCCGGCTAGAAATAGTCGGATTCACCTCAACACATGGCTCTGGAACTAGTTTCCTTGAGAGGGGTTGGACACTCTTCCACTCTGGAGTTGCCCATGGCAAGAGGCGCCGAGCAGGAGTGGACATACTTTTTGCCTCCCATCTTGGTGCCTGTACGTTGGGGTTCACCCCAGTGAACGAGAGGGTAGCCTCCTTCCGCCTACGTGTGGGGGGATGGGTTCTGACGATCGTTTGTGCTTATGTGCCAAATGGCAGCTCAGATTACCCACCCTTTTTGGAGTCCTTAGAGGGGGTACTGGAGAGTACGTCTCCTGGGGGCTCCCTTGTTCTACTGGGGGACTTCAACGCTCACGTGGGCAATGACAGTGAGACCTGGAGTGGTGTGGTTGGGAAGAACGGCCACCCTGATCTGAACCCGAGTGGTGTTCTGTTGTTGGACTTCTGTGCTCGTCATGGATTGTCCATAACGAACACCATGTTCAAGCATAAGGGTGTCCATATGTGCTCTAGGCACCAGGACACCTTAGGCCGCAGTTCGATGATCAACTTTGTTGTCGTCTCATCTGATCTGTGGCCACATGTCTTGGACACTCGGGTGAAGAGAGGGGTGGAGCTGTCTACTGACCACTACCTGGCGGTGAGTTGGCTCCGATGGTGGGAGATGATGCTGGTCAGACATGGCAGACCCAAACGTATTGTGAGGATCTGCTGGGAACGTCTGGCAGAGTCTCCTGTGAGACAGAGCTCTAACTCCCACCTCTGGGAGAGCTACGAATATGTTCCGGGTGAGGTGGGTGACATTGAATCCGAGTGGACCATGTTTCGTGCCTCTATTGTCGAGGCGGCTTATCAGAGCTGTGGCCGCAAGGTTGTCGGTGCCTGTCGCCACGGTAACCCTCGAACCCGATGGTGGACACCGGCGATGAGGGATGCTGTCAGGCTGAAGAAAGAGTCATATCGGGCCTTTTTGACCTGTGGGACCTCGGAAGCACCTGATGGGTACCGGCATTCCAAGCAGCATGCAGCTCAGGTGGTCACTGAGGCAAAAACATGGGCATGGGAGGAGTTCGGAGAGGCCATGGAGAATGACTTACACATGGCTTCGAGGCAATTCTGGCCCACCATCCGGCGTCCCGGGGGGGGAAGTGGTATGCCACCAACCCTATTTATAGTGGAGCTGGTGTGCTGCTGACCTCAACTCAGGATGTCGTGTCGGTGGGCAGAATACTTCGAAGACCTCCTCAATCTCACTGGCACGTCTTCCACTAAGGAAGCGGAGCCTGGAACCTTGGGTCGGCTCTCCAATCTTTGGTGCTGAAGTCACAGAGGTGATTAAAAAGCTCAGTTTCTTAATCTTAAATCCCCCAAATTATTATCTAAAATATACAAGAAATTGTCTAGAATCAATGACTCCATAATGCTACCTGTTGCAAAATGGGAGTCAGATTTATCAATCAATTTTGACAAAAACACCTGGTCTCAAATATGTTTAGGAACATTTAAAATGACTAGAATCTCCAACTTACAATTAATACAGTATAAAGTTCTTTATAGAGTACATTATACAGGTCAGCGAACGTTTAGGATGGGATTTACATCATCTAACAACTGCTCACAGTGCACAGACAATATTCCTGATGATTATATCCATGCACTCTGGCTCTGCCCACCCGTTCAGAGGTTCTGGGTCCAGGTTTGTGAAGACTTGTCTAAATGTCTGAAATTTAATATTCCACTCTCTCCGTCTGTTTGCTTATTGGCTATCTTGGAAGATGTTACCCTGGAAAAAAAATACATGTCGCATGATTTTCACTGCCTTATGCATTGCAAAGAAAACCATAATCCTGAATTGGAAAAATAAAAATAATCTTAGCATTAATCAGTATAAAAATCTTCTGTTAGATCATATTAGTCTTGAAACAGCATCTGCCGACACATCGGATCAATCTCTCTGGGCTCCTTTGATCGGCTCCGTTACATAGTGAGGGTGGGTAGTCTGGGATCTGACCTTGTGGGGTCTTGGGGTTGATGTGGAGGTGGGTGTATGGGTTTGGGGCACCGGGGGGGTTGCCGGGGGCTGGGCTCTTGGGGGTACCTGGGCAGGGGGGGCACTGCTTTCGCCCTGGAGAGGGCCTGGGTGGTTCTGGGGGATGTCTGCTGGTGGCTGCATGCGGGCCCTCAGGTGGTCTGTGGCGGCGGTCGTGGGTCACCGATCTGGTAGCCTGGCTGTGCTGGGGTGGGTTCGGGGTGGGCGCGGGGGCTTGGGGTTCTGGGGGCTTGTCGCCCCCGGGCTTGGGCCTGTGGGGATCGGGGATCTTGGGCTCTGGCGGGCAGGTTGCCGGGCTCTGGGCCGGCTTGCGCTCTGGTGCCCGGTTCTGGGCAGGGGCCTTCGGCTCGCTGGTAGGTTGTGGGTTCAGGGGCTGGGGGGTTGGGTGTTTGGGGGCGTGACCAGTGGCCCCTAAGAGGGGGTAGTTTGACCCAGCCTAGGTGTCTAGTGTGCTATGTGTTTTGAGAGATGTCTGAATGAGGGGTGGGTGTAGTATTTCTTCTGGGGTGGGGACTGGGTGGATGTCCTTGGGGGCGGCCCGGGACTGTGCATGGCCGACTGGCTGGCCCCTTTCCTGTGGTGGGGGCTCGCTCCCGGTGCTTCCTGGCTCTGTCGGCGGTTGGGCGGGCGCTCTTGGCTGGGCCGCCCTGGTGGG